ACGCTTTTTCCACAGCATACATTATACGAAGTTATACGACCTTTAAGGTACGCTAGTTGCAGCTCTCTGAGGCTGCCAGTCCTTTGCTGAGCTCCCCTTCCACCTGTGCTCCACTCCGGTCGCAGAATCTTCTAGTATCATTTTGATAAAAAAAAGGATAATGTGAAGAAAATAGCGTGTATTCGCAACGCCATATCATACATTTTCCACTTCCCATTGAGCCCTGTTATCAGTTAAAGCATGGTCTATGCTGGCGTGATGGTTGCTGTAGGTTCAATATATGCTAAACGACCCTTAACTGGTTGCTTGCTCGTCCATTATCGGCGGTCAACGGGCAGAGAAAGCGGTCCCATTTTGCGCGTTTTCGACAGATTTCTTTGCTTTTTTCGCCACTGGGGCATTATTCAGCATCTCCACTTCCACTATGAACCCAACCCAATCTTATAATTCGTAAGATCGCCTTTAGACTTGATTATGCATCGGGTTACTCTCCTTTTTCCGCGCGCTTCAATTCTCGGCTCTTTCCTTCAAAGCAAGACACTGCGGATGACCCAGAAAGGAGCTCCGCTCGGTTGCAAAATTACGGTTAATTCGATCCCCTACCTACGTCAGTTTCACGAAATATGTTGAGGAGTGTTCAACATAAAGCGATTTTTTTTTCTACGAAATTGAAGAATCTCTGTTGCTTCGTCTGTACACCCACAATTGCTCGTGAATTGCAACTTTCACAAAAAATCAACGCAAAGTATTTTGACGGAATCGGCAGTTGATCATCAAATATCAGAGATACGGAAATTCTACGCTGGAGTCAGATGACTTTCCCCATCCAGATTTCTTGGGACGATCACATCTGGGTACTCATTAATGACCTATCACATCCCCGTGAAGAGAATACAAAGTGTGGCTAGACTTTAACCAACTCTTTGGGAAAGCATACGTAAATGTCATATATTTCTCGCCAACACTATTCGCGGAAAATCAGCGTTTTGTGAGCCTGATTTTACATTTGAATAGAAAAAAAAACCAGACGCACATACCGGGGAGACGCACACAGTTTCTCTCAGCATTAATGGAGGGACTAGTCACGTTACGGGTTTCAGAGCGACAGGCGGCGTTGTGGAGTTATTGAGAGTAGGCTCCGATCCCCTCTCCTGACATGCAGCAGCTTTACCCCGCCACGCTCCGTTGAGTTGGGTCACGGTGTGCGCGGACTTAGGTTGGTGAGGGGCCCTCTTAGTAGGACTGCACCGATTTACAGATCGTGTCGGAGGGCCGTGGTTCTTTTGAAGGTACACTCTGGAAGCACGAGCGGGCAAGACTAGTTGGATCAATCTATCCTTGCCTGCCTGCCTAACCGATACATGGTGAGTGAGTTGTACTTAACATTCAGAAAGTCTAAAATGTTACAGACACTACAAAAGTCATACAATAAACGACTTTTTCCAAACTACCAAATCTCCTTTCCTTTTATAAATTGAATAACAAACCTTGCAGCAATTACGTTTCTATATGAATCACTTTATTTAAATAGGTTCTATTTTTCTCTGCAAGCGGCCCCATATGATGGGATACGAAAATTTAAAAACTAAGCTGTTGCAAATGTTCAATTCTTCGAAAATCGTCCCTTTATTCCGTTTTTGTGCACACGCGACTTTTCATCATTCAAACGCTCATAACTTCCTCATTATTAATATTTGCAGATTTTCTAAGATAATTAGAAACTAAAAGATTGAGACAGAAGTTTAGCTGCTTCCAAAAAGTCTTCTATCATTCTTCGAGGATCACTTTCTAGAAATAATATCCCGAGAAATTACATCAGGATTGTGGAATCCGTCTTAAGAAATCGCCTGTTGTCTATTCAAGTTCATACTTTCTTCATTATTAACTTTTTGCAGATCTTTAGAGCTACTAACTAGTATCTAGTAGACTGGCGCTTCCGAAAAATATTTAGATTCTTTCGAATACTACCTTTTCAAGAAATCGTCCCACCGTCCCGCCTTTTATTTCTATGGCCTTTCAAGGCCATTTTTCTGGATCGCGAGCCTTTTTCAAATTGCCATGAGCTTTTTTTTTTCAAAGTGTACATTGAACGGTGAAAAACACTGAAATCGACAAACTCAGTACTTACAGCGTATGCTGCATTATCTTGAAAGGAAGACTTTTCTCTTGCCAGAGGTCTTTACTAAGACTATCGGTCAACTCTCCGAATTCGCTGCACTCTCCTCCCTTCAATTTCGCTCGAAAGCCTAGTAGTTTCTCAGTCGAAAGCAAGAATTTTTTCACTTGTGCTCACTGGAACATGACGTGTCTTAAAAAGAAATCTTTCTCTGGGATACACCATTCAATTGTCTGTGGTGCATAATGGTCAATGAAGTCTGTCCTCCTTTGACACTTACCAGGAATGGATGATTGGTCGAAGTGGCCATATGTAAAGAGACCCACACCGGTGGATGCGTTTCTGGACGCTGATCTCGAATCTGCTTTCCAAATCTGCCAAACGATTTTCCCGAATGGAGTTATGAAGGAAAGTAGTGCAGCGGCAGTAGTAGTCCGGGTTCACGTGCGAGACGTATCAACTGTCGAATCAATCCCTGGGCTTTTCTGTTTTTGCTCTCGCCTTGCAAAAAGGTTGAAGAAAGGCTTCCCCAGTCTTCACTCGAGCAATGCTTGTCATCGTAGTTCACGCCGCTATGCAAAGACTTTGCGAGGAGTTTCTAACCAGTTTGAGCGGTACTTATCAAAGACTGCACATGGAGCACACAAAACTCTTAGCAGACGTTTTTGCAGCAAACAAGTGTGATATTCGTGTTCGGGAGGTGAAAATACCCCTAGCAATTTGTTAGCAAAAATTTGAGATTTTGCCAATTTCAAATAGTTGGGCATCTATCCATTCGCGCATGGGGGTTTCACTGCGGTCAGAGGACTAATGTCCCAATTGCGGTGCAACAGAACTTTATATAAATTCATTTTTATATTGTGCTGCGCTCCGTCTATCGACTGTTATGTAACTTCTATAGATAATACATTAACAGAACTATAAACCACATGGCAGCCAGATTGGTCGAATATCCCTTGATTTAGCAAAGATTTTCTGAACGCCCAAAACTTTCAATTCAAATTTTTCCCTAGTATTCCTTTCATGTCGTGAACATTCTCATGAAAGATTGTAGAAGCAGTTGATACGAAACTCTGTGAGTTTCAAAATATTTGTATTTGATGGAAGAACTTAGGTATAAATGCTTTTAACTTCATTCGCAGCAAAAGTGATGTTTTTGCTTCTTCGTGTCATTATGCGTTCTTCTAAACAAAAATCTACTGCCATTTATATAGTTAACCTTTATGCTTTCATCCTTGCCGAAATAATTCTATGAGATTCAAGTTGTTGTGCATTTTAAACAAAAAATAAGCGGAAGTAAGGTGAGGACGGCGCGCTCGCAAAATCGCTCCTGTCCCACGCGTGCAAAATGCCAAAACACGCGATGTCGTCAACGTGTTAATCCTATCCGACCTGCCATCTTTCTGCCGTGCAGGCGCGTGTGGCCGACGCCTTTTTATGCTTACCGCCGCGTGCAGCACATAATCTTATAAATATAATACATAAAGACCAGTGTTTCCATCAACGCCACTATTTTATCCCGTTTTTGTATTTGTCATGTCTAAAGGTGTCCATGTGGTGAGTTTGACTAAAATCTGTTGGATAAAAGACATGATAGGGCCATAAAAAGGGGTGCAGGAATGGACACTGTTCAAAATAAAATGTCATTGAGGGAAAAAGGACAGAAATGTCCAAAACGTGTTGGAATGCAATAGTATCAGGTACGACGTGCACGTGATGGCACAAATACAGTTGTATGAAGTGTTTCCAAATGATTTATAACTTTTCCTTAGCTCGAAGTGGAAATCCATTTAATTTTTGGTTATTTTAGGAACTAGTTTGAGATCAAGACTAGGTTTTTCCATACGTACGACATGAGTATGTTACATAGATATGTAACAACATAAAACATTTTGTCGAAAAACCGAATCCTTGGAAAAATCAGCCCTGACACCCCATGGGTGTCAGGCGGCCACAGGGAGCAAATTGGGCCTGACACCCCATGGGTGTCAGGCGGTCTGTAAAGGGTTAAAAGTGCGAACGCGACGGTTGACCTTGGAGCCTTATTCCTTGTCCTTCTTTCGCAGATGATTCTTCAAGGAATGGCCTGAGCTGAATAGGAGTGGCAATACAGTCTCAGTCAGCTTTCTGAACTGTTCTCATTACTGGGTGGTTGGAAATGCAATTCTTTCACGTGTAAGTCGACAGTTTGATAACTTTTGAGCGGAACAATAAAGAAAATCATCACAGCAATTCCCAGTTAAATCGCACCTCTTGTTCACCGGGCAATCGTACCAGTTTTAAAAAAAAGTGGTGGAGTATGCACGCTCATCTACATCGAAGAATATGTTTACTTATAAATAGCATAGTTTTTAAATCTCGTTGCTTGAGCAAGCCTTCACAACAGTTGGGAACGACTGTGATCTGCGCGGCTGCAAATGGCACTATTTAAATTCACACAATTTCGTACACTTTACTGACACGAATTTTACAAAGTAAGGCTTGGTTCAATGTGTGCAAGTATTGTTAAAACAAAGTATTATAGTATATTCACCCAGATTTTTGTCAACTCTTGAAGGAGAATCGTTCTCGAGGTAAACATCTAGAAATTTGGTTATGTCGATGCCTTCATGAAATTCTCCGTTATAGTGATACTAATACGGTTCTGGGAGGCAGGATGACGACAATTCTCAAAGCAAGAAATTGGATAAGAGGGGCGGCTAAGATCAGGGCCACCAGAAGAAAATTACAATCAATTGGGTGGAGCATTTTTTCAAGGGATGATAAAGCCATTGTTGCCTAGCTGAACAAACACCGTTAGCGAACGTAATAAGTAGAGAAGTGTAGGCTTCTGTTGGAGAACAAGGACAACAACTAGACCATCAGAGGAATTTTGTTCAGTAGATCATGACGATAAACCTTCATACAACGACAACGCATGCACAATAGACGGATCTGCTTTGGCCCCCTCCTTGAATTCTTCCAATGTAAGTTGCGCATCGTTGTTCTGAAAAAAGTGTTGTATTGAATGGCCCAATGCTGATGATAGGCAGCACTTTCTTGCCTGAACACGGAAAACTTTTTTAGCACGTTGACGACAGCGTGACGCGGTAACGCGTCCCACTTTGCGCACCTCGTGGGACATTGTGACGCGGTAACGCGTCCCACCCAAGTCATCCCTTTTTCTTGCGCTTGTGCGACTTATTCCTAAGGTCTTTGTACTCATTCTATAGGTCATACATTAGCATACTTAAAAACCACATGGCTCACAGAAAGGCCAAATATTCTTTAGTTTGGCAGACGTTTTCCAGACCTTACGGATATGTCTGTTCATTCATTCCTCGTTTTCTTTTCAATAACGTAGACATGTTGATAAAAAGGAATAATAGAAGTGAATACAAACCTATTCGTATGGGAAGATATGTGAAATTACTTTTGGAACCACTAAAGGGAAATTAAGTAAAATTTCCTTTTCATGGCCTTAACACGTCATTTCGGTCAAACTTCCATTACTGTAACTCCTGATAAGCTAGACAGATCGAACATCATTGAAAACATTTCATCGCATCTAAGTATTGCGTATTTACAACTTAAAATCCATGGATTTGGTGTGCGGCGGCTGCGCTCGCAAAATCGCTCTTGTCCCACGCGGTGCAAAAGCACAAAACGCGCGATGTCGTCAACGTGTTAAAGGTTTAAACAAAAAGGTATTGGCAGGAATAATGCATATAGAGGCTGGTTTAGGCTCAGGATATGCGAATCCAATAAAAACCTTCAGCAGAGGAGATCATTACTAACGAGGAACTTGTAAAGGGCCCGGAATTATTATTGAGTGATTACCCAAATTTCCGGTGGTAAGCCCGCGCGCTCTCACGTAAGACCACATCCACTTGCGCAGTGTAATTTTGCATACCTTAGAAAGGACCGTAAACTTGCCTATAGAGGTAATTCGATAGCCTAATTAGGGAAATGACTTTCATTTTTAGCGCTGGCGCAATCTGGCACCAGTTGGCATCACCTTGTCGGCATATAAAGCTTACTTAGTGTGATTACGAATATGATTCATTATCGGCGCTGGCGCTATTATTTGGCAATTATTTTCTGCTCGTCTGCGTTCTCCAACCGAGAAATACGTGTCGGACAACGTTAATGACAAAAGCGGATGTCCTTTACGTAACTAGCATATCGAA